AGATGATCCCCTGCTCCACATCCACCACCTGGCCTCGGATCTTCAGGGGGCCCTCCACGCGGACACCAGATCGGCCTATGGTCCCAGACCCCGCCTGAGCGTCCTCCAGCTCCTTGGGCCTCTTGAAGTGACAGCGCTGAACATCTTCAAACACCTGGAACATCTCGTGCACCTGGGCTGTGTAGCCAGCAAGCTCCGTCACCTCCTTGTACGACGACATGATCCGCTCAATGGCATCTGCAGCCGCTGTCAGGAGGTTGCGGGCAATAGTGAAGGCTTCTGTGCGCTCACTCACCAGCTCCTCCTCCTTCTTTTCCAAGGCTGCCTTCTTCACGGCCTCTGCAGCTGACTCTGAGTAACCAGTGGCGGTGATGATGGGGACAGCCACCATGAGCAGGCCTGAGGCGCTCCACACATACTTCATGAGGAACTGCTCCAGCATGACATACCACAGGCGTTCCAGAAGGATGAGGTTGATCTGCGAGGCCAGGTCCTGGTAGGAGTGCTGTAGCAGCGCCAGCTCCACCTCGTGGCCCCCATAGAAGGCGATCTCCTCCGAGTTGGCCACCACACGCGAGTGCATGTAGCGCAGCTCCCCCTTCCGCCGCGCCTCCTCTGCCACCAGCTCCCCAAACTTGGGTGAGAAGGCCCGCAGCACGTTGGCCGTGAGGAACACCACGAGGCCAGCGATGGCTGAGGGCCAGGCTGTGCCGGCCCCACAGGAGCGGGCCACCTGAAGCAGGGTGTAGGAAGTCACGGCCACGTCCAGGAGTGGCTTGGTCAGGTTGGAGTAGAGGTGGGCCACAGAGGCCGCAAAGGCCACCACGTCCTCTGTCAGAGACTGGTCAGGGTTGCGAAGCCGCCCGTCCATGTTGCTGACCCGGTAGTAGGTCTGCTGGGAGAAGTAGAGGCGGTAGGCATGGGCCACCAGACGGCTGCGGAACGACAGGGCCAACTGGCCCTCCAGGTAGCGGATGGCACTGTTGACAAAGGTAGCAGGGAGGGCGATGAGGAGCCATTGTAGCAGCTGCCAGCCAAAGGCCCGCGGGTCCTTGCGCACGATGCAGCGGGCCAGCCTTCCGTCCAGGCGGGCCACATACACCGACAGGAAGGTGCGGCTCACCAGGGCGGCCGAGTGCAGGGCCAGCAGCCCCGTCTCCCGGCACAGGACCCGGGGGAACAGCAGCCGCAGGAGCCACAGAAGCCGCTGCAGGAATACCCGGTTCATGCCGGCCTTGGCCCCGGAGGCCTCCTGCGTGGACTCCTTGGCGGGCGCCTGAGAACCCCTGGCCGGGGCCAGGCACTGGCGCACCAAGGGGTAGACTTTCTGGGCTCCATAGGCCGCGAGGGCCAGGAGCACGGCCGTGCGCTTCAGCGTGCTCCCCCGCCAGGGCCGGGGCCTGGGGACCGGCATGTCACCTGGGCTGGCTGGCGCGCAGGGACTGGGACTGGTGCCTGGGGCAGCAGTTGAGGCAGGTGGCTGGAAGGGTTGTTGTTCTGACCCCGGGCCTGTTGTCTAGGCAACTGGAAACCTTGCGATGGCCCTTGAGACTGTCGCTTTAGGCCCCCGGGGTGCTGCTGGGGCCCCTGGTGCGGTGGGCTCAGGGCCCTCCAGGGTCGCGGCCTCTTCGGGCAGCCCAAGTGGAGAAACTTGGCTCTCCTGTCCTGTCAGTGCCCTGGCTCCTGAGGTCAGGGCCTGGAAGGATTTCGGGCAGAGGGGGCGTCTCTTCCTCTCCGCCTTCTTCTCCTCCTCCTCCTCCTCCCCTGGTGGCGCCCCTCCCCGGGGCACCAGGCGCGTCCGTCCGCTCCGCAGCCTGGCTGAAGCGACAGTTACTCCGCCACCGGCCCAGAATCCCCACCCACCCCTCCCCAGGGGCGAGTCGGGGGAAGGGGAGGAGGCGGAGGAGGGGCGAGGGGCGGAGTTCGGGCGGGGGAGCCCCACCCTGTTCTCGCCCCTCGGCGAGGCCCGTCCCCCACCAACCCCGTTCTCGCCCCTCGGCAGGGCCTCTCCGCACCACAGAGACGTGGGACGGCCGCGCGGACTAGATAAGCGGCCCTCGCAGGCCCGCCAAAGCCCCGCCCCGCCCGCGTGCTCGCTCCACCCCTCCCCGCGCGCCCAGAGCCCCAGGCGCCGCTTCCTCTCGCGCTCGGGGCGTCGGCCCTCCACTCGGGGGCGGGGCGGGAAGCGGCGGTGGGCGGAGCCTCCTGGGCCTCGCGAGGGCTAGTGGGCGGTGCCCGGCGGGCGCTTCCGGTTTCCGGCCGCGGGATGAGGGGCGGGGCCGGGGCTACTGTGGGAGAGTTGGGCTGCTGCGGCGGGGCCTGCACGCTGACTGTGGGAAACTCGGTGAGCGGGCTCCGCGCGCCAGGCTGAGCTCCGGGACCGCCGAGGCTCCCTGGCCCCTCGACCAGGGAGAGAGGCGAGCGGCGCGGGGAGGGCCGGGGGCCGGGGAATCTCGGGGCCCGCAGCCGACCTGGGTGTGAGGGGCAGGGGAGAGGGGAAAACGGGCGGTGCTTCTAGAAGCTGGGCTCGGGGGCGGGGTGGGGGGCGGTGAAGCCCCACCTGGAGGAGCGGCCGGGCTGGGCCTCGGGGACGGTGTGCCAGGCCGGGGTCATGTCGGCAGGGCCCACGGTGCGCGCAGTCGGCTCTCGCTCTGGGTGGGCGCTGTGGCCCTCGAGGGCTACTGGAAGGACCCCTGGCTTCTGAGGAGACTGCGTCTAGAACTTTCCCCGTATGGGGCCTTGAGGTGCTTGGTCGAGACCTGCTTTTGCGCTTGGTCCCGAATCCTGCCCTCTAGGAGTCGCTCTTGTGGGCCTCCAGCCCACCGGAGGCGAAGCGGCCCCGGGCGGAAGGCCGCTTGAGCCTCGAGGGAGGTGCCGGTTTCTCTCCGCGGGCGCCGTGGGGACGGTGGGAGGCGGGGGCGTCGGCAGCGCTTGGACTAGATGCGGCCTTGGGCCCGCCTGGTAGCGGGGATTTGGGCCAACAGAGCGCCCGCCTCTGCGGCTGAGTTCTGCCTGGCGGGGAAGGGAGCGTCCAGTGGGTGCCGAGGCGTCCTCCTCTTGGCGCTCTGGCACTGCTCTTCCCGAAGAACGCCTTTCAGTTAAACGGGCGTCGGAAATCTCGGACTCCCTGGGACAGGGATCATTGGGAGAGGCCGCTCTGGACGTGTTGACACACGTGCTGGAGGGGGGCGGGTAACTGACCAGCGAACGGAAGTTTGTGGGGCCTGTGAACGCTGCTGGCCAAGCGGCCCTGCCTAGTGGAGCCCTGCTTCCGCCAGCGCGTCAGAGACTGTGAAGCAAAGTGCAGGGGGTCGAGTGGAGAGTGGCGGCCCCAGCCTCGAAGGGTAACTGAACTGGATGTTCTTGGCTGCCCAGCGCTTACAAATCCTGTTCCTTCTGTGCCCTGCCAGGAAACAAGCTCACATCTTCCTGTGGGGAAACCTTCTAGCAGCAGGATGAGTCTGCAGTGGACTGCAGTTGCCACCTTCCTCTATGCGGAGGTGTTTGTTGTGTTGCTTCTCTGCATTCCCTTCATTTCTCCTAAAAGGTATGGCTTGTGGAGCAAGCAGGCGAGTTAGGCGGGAGGGTCCCTGTGCCCTAGCCCTGGGACTGGTGTGTGCAGCTGGGGGACCCTGGAATTGGAACCCGATGGAACAGGTAGAACCTGTCAGGGGTGGGGGTGGCAGGGGTTGTGTTTGTTATTGCCAACCCTCCCCAGGGTTCTGCTTCGTCATGACTTGCTCAGTTCCTTTTCCTGTGTCCCCTGCCTTCTGGTCTTCAGAATGCCCCCGAGAGGCAGGAAGATCCATGTTACAGTTCTGGAAATGATGCCCTCCCGCCTACTCTTGGCCCCCGGGGTCTTGGGATGGCAGCGTGGGATTCGGAAGACTTGCACCACTGGGTCACGTTGTTGCTGATTTGGTGACTCTTGTCCTAACTAGTCTCACTGGCATTGCGCAGTGGCTGCATGAACATTACTCAGCCTGTGGAGGATGAAGCCATATTCCCTTTTAATGAACAGAGGACCTGTTAAAAGTGAATTGGAAATTAATTTTTAATTATGTATAATACCTGAACACGTCCTTATTTAAATTCACATATTACAAATAAGGCCAAATCTCCACAGGTATTTTTAAAAACTGTTTTTTCATGAAAAATTATCCCTGATGTGATACCACAGAAAGTATGCAGCGCTGCCTGAGGAGGATTCTTGCAGAAAACCAAACCTTCGTACAGTTGACAAGACATGCAGAGATAGAGGGCCCCAGGGAGCTTTAATCTGGGAAGCTTTAGAGGACAGACAATCTGATTTCTACACAAAGCAAATTGGAAAAGCAAATGAAAGAGGGGAGGGAAGGGGGAGCTTCCAGAATAAGAGGGATTTAAGACATTTATCTACCAAATGCCAAATCATTACCTTGTTGGGTCCAGATTCAAACAAATATTGTTGCCTACAGTGATTGGCATTTTCATCTCTAGCCCTGATGATGAGGGCTTCTTGCTGGTTTGAACAATATGTAAAGACTTCTGAAGTCTCTTCTTAGAGCTGCATCCCAAAGCATTTGTGGAGGGAAATGATGTAAGGTCTAGGGTCCATCTCATCATAACCCAGGGTGGGGGGGGGGGATATAGACAAACCAAGGTTTATCATGTGGAAAGACAGTTTAAAGAAATAACATGTGTGTGGGGCAGACATTTTGAATATTACAAAGGGGAGAACAATGGAAAGTAAGTTTCCCTTTTCAGAGACTATCAGTGTGTTTTCTTTTTGTTGCTGTGGTTTCTTTGTTTTTTTTTTTTTTTTTTTTTTTTTTTTTTTGAGACAGTCTTGCTCTGTCACCCAGGCTGGAGTGCAGTGGTGTGGTCTCGCCTGACAGCAACCTTCACCTACCGAGTTCAAGTGATTCTCCTGCCTCAGCCTCCCGAGTAGCTGGGACTACAGGCGCCTGCCACCATGCCCAGCTAATTTTGTGTGTGTGTGTGTGTGTGTGTGTGTGTGTGTGTGTGTGTATATTTTTTTTTTTTTTGTAGAGATGGGGTTTCCAGACGTGAGCCACTGTTCCCAGCCAACTACCTGTGTTTAAGATTAGTTTTCCAGGCCAGGTGCGGTGGCTCACGCCTGTAATCCCAGCACTTTGGGAGGCTGAGGCAGGCGGATCATGAGGTCAGGAGATCGAGACCATTCTGGCTAACACGGTGAAACCCCGTCTCTAATAAAAAATACAAAAAATCAGCCGGGCGTGGTGGCAGGCGCCTGTAGTCCCAGCTACTCGGGAGGCTGAGGCAGGAGAATGTCATGAACCCAGGAGGCGGAGCTTGCAGTGAGCCGAGATCATGCCACTGCACTCTAGCCTGGGTGACAGAGGGAGACTGTCTCAAAATAAAAAAAAGATTAGTTTTCTAGACATTTCGATCTGTACGTGGACCAGCACCTTTTTTTTTTTTTTTTTTGAGACAGGGTCTCGCTCTGTCGCCCAGACTTGAGTGCAGTGGCGCGATCTCAGCTCACTGCAACTTCTGCTTCCCAGGTTCAAGTGATTCTTCTGTTTCAGCCTCCTGAGTAGCTGGGATTACAGGCACCCACCACCATGCCTGGCTAATTTTTGTACTTTATTTGTAGAGACGGGGTTTTGCCATGTTGGCCAGGTTGGTCTTGCACTCCTGACCTCAAGTGATCCACCCACCTTGGTCTCCCAAAGTGCTGTGATTACAGGTGTGAGCCACCGCACCTGGCCTTTTTTCCAACACTCTTGAATGGATATCAAATTAGAGAATTGCAAGCCACTGAGGCTGACTTTGTGTGGGCTATTTGGCCATTGGAGAAGAGTGCAAAGCTGGATTTCCATTTTGCTCAGGAGCCTAGAGCCCGTGTGTGTGCTTTCTCTTCAGCTCCCGTCCTTTTTGTCGTCTTCACAGATGGCAGAAGATTTTCAAGTCCCGGCTGGTGGAGTTGGTAGTGTCCTATGGCAACACCTTCTTTGTGGTTCTCATTGTCATCCTTGTGCTGTTGGTCATCGGTGAGTGAGCTGTGGCTGAGGGCAGCTACATGACCTAGACCCTGGTCTCTGCTGCAAAACCCTTTGCCGCTTTTGATGTGTAGCATCCAGTTTTGGCTGCTGGGAGATAGACCAATGAAATGCTGTGTCTTTCTCTTGTGGGGAGGAAGAGGCTCCCTTTGCCCATGCTGCTGACCTCTAGTCGGTTCTTCACTTTGAGGCCCCTCTAGGCCGGGCATGGTGGCTCATGCCTGTAATCCCAGCACTTTGGGAGGCTGAGGTGGGTGGATCACCTGAGATGAGGAGTTCAAGATCATCCTGGCCAACGTGGTGAAACCCCATCTCTACGAAAAATACAAAATTATTTGGGCATGGTGGCGGGAGCCTGTAATCCCAGCTACTTGGGAGACTCAGGCAGGAGAATCGCTTGAACCCAGGAGGCAGAGTTTGCAGTGAGCCTAAATCGCTCCATTGCACTCCAGCCTGGGCAACAAGAGTGAAACTCCATCTCAAAAAAAAAAGAGGCCTCTCTAGCAGTGGGCGTGGGCTTATACCAAAGCAGTTTGTGTGCAGCCTTGTGATGGCCACCTTACATTGCTTTTTTTCAAGACCTTGGGAGAAGGGACGCCTTAGGTTTCTGAGGCTGCTCCTCAGGTCACTCTAGAACTGAAGCTAAGGGAAGCTAACTGGCCTGTGACCTTGGTCTGAGTAGTGCTGCTCACCAGTCACTTGAACAGCAGAGTTGCCTGGAGCAGGACCTTTAATGGGGGACTGAGCAACTAAGCACACAGTGAGTCTAGCTGGGAAGTCCTGCTGTTCCCTGTAGTAGTAGGAGGAGGACACAGAAATGTGTGGCAGCGTATCTTGGGGAGAGATCCTAGACCTCTCTGCATCTGGGCTAGACTTGAGGTTTTCCCAGGTCCTTCCAGCTCTGTAGTTCTGTAAACTCTGACATTGAGGTGCATACCAGCAGGTGCTTGAAAGATAAACTGATCTAAGGGCAAGCAAGCTCAGGGATAAGGCCAGGCCAGGTGGTGTTAAGACGAAAGGCAGACATTTTGCAATGAGGTGGTGGGGTGACCATCTGGAGACAAGAATCAATAAAGCTCTTGTCTGACTGTTAGATGTTTGTTGTTTTGCTGTGGTAAGTGATCGATATGTTCCCCTGTTCGGGTTCCAAAATATTGGCTTGGCTCTGCTGTGGATACCACTCTTTTGTCTCAGAGCTGTGGTGCCTGCCTAGGTGTGGAACACTCCTCCCACCGAGTCCCAGCAGAAACGCTGAGCGGGTGAGGGGCTGTGGTTCAGGGGAATGTGCAAAGCCTCACCCACCAGCTTCAGCATTAGGCATTTCTCTTTCCTGCTGTCTCGGAGCCTGATAGGATATGTTCAGGCAGGACTGCCTCTGAACAGGCCAAGTGTGACCTGACAGCTTCCAACCACATAGGGTAGGTGCCAGCTGCCCGAGTACCTCAGTGTTCTTGAAATACTTGGCAAGGCCCCAAGAGGTAGCTCTTTCTAACCAGGGTTCTCTCCTTGAGCAGCCTCCAAGCCAGGAGTAGGTAGGGAATGTATGTGTCGTCCCCAGGCTACTGAGTTTTTGAACTGAGCATGTGTGTTTTGGCTTTTGGGTCTGGGGTGGGGAGAAGAACTGGGGAAGGGAGGGACCATGCTGAGGATGATTCCCTCAGGGCCTTGCCCCTTCCCCAAACCAGAAGGAGTATGTTTCTTTCCTAGAGCAGCTGAGTGGGCTGAGAGATCCTTTGCGGAATCCAGTAGTTGACAAAGCCTTCATTCTTTTTTGGGATCAGGGAACTGCTTGGAAGTTCTAGAGGGACATATGGCCATGATGGCTGGCTACTTCCTACTCTCATGTTAAGCATAATCTAGAAAGATCTGCAGAGCCTTCTTCAAATAGAAGTGTTAGTCACAGGTACTAGTGAAGGGTAACGGGCATAACTAGCTAGAGCTGTGGCCTTGCCTGGGGGCGGGGAGGGTTGAGAAGATCCGTCTGGAGGGTGGAGTTGCTGAGGGTGCAGGATCTTCCCACCTGGGCTGAGACCCGAGACAGGGAGGGCCAGGTTCTACTGTGGGACTTGGGTTAGTGTTGCTCAGTCTCCCATCCCCACTCATGGTCATTGGCCAAAGTGGTCCTTAGGATGGTGGGATTCCTGGATGCAGGTGACAGTGTAAGAAAACATGTTTATCTTGTTTTTCTGATTACAAAAATAATGGGTAATCTTAAAAACTCAAAAATTGAATTTAGAAAGTTAATTTCCTGGCCGGGCACGGTGGCTCACGCCTGTAATCCCAGCACTTTGGGAGGCCAAGGTGGGCGGATCACGAGGTCAGGAGATCGAGACCATCCTGGCTAACACGGTGAAACCCCTTCTCCACTAAAAATACAAAAAAAAATTAGCCGGCGCTGTGGTGAGCTCCTGTAGTCCCAGCTACTCAGGAGACAGGCAGGAGAATGTCATGAACCCGGGAAGTGGAGCTTGCAGTGAGCCGAGATTGCGCCACTGCGCTCCAGCCTGGGCAACAGAGCGAGACTCCATCTCAAAAAATAAATAAATAAATAAAAAAGAAAAACTCCCCATAATCCCATGTCCCACAGGTAACCATCATGAATATTTTGTTGTGCATTTCCACAGGCGTTTTCTATACTGACATCTTTAATAAAATGTTTACAGCAGTGGGATCATACTCACAAAGTATTTATGTTTCCTTCCACATTCCTGCTGGGAAATGGCAGGAGGAGCATTCCACACCTAAGCAGGCAGCACAGCTCTGAGACAAGACTGCTGTCCATAGCAAAGCCCAGCCAATACTTTGGATTGTGCTTTTTCTACTTACTGCACCTTAAACATTTTTTTTTTTTTTTTTTTTTTTGAGATGGAGTCACTCTCGCCCAGACTGGAGTGCAGTGGCGCCATCTTATCTCACTGCAACCTCCACCTCCCAGGTTCAAGTGATTCTCCTGCCTCAGCTTCCGAGTAGCTGCGGATTACAGGCGCCCGCCGCCATGCCCAGCTAATTTTTTGTTATTTTTAGTGGAGACGAGATTTCACCATGTTGGCCAGGGTGGTCTTGAACTCCTGGCCTCAAGTGGATCTGCCCCACCTCGGCTTCCCAAAGTGTTGGGATGACAGACGTGAGCCACTGTGCCTGGCTGACATCTTTTTATAGCAATCTCATTCTTCTTAAAGATCATGTAGGCTGGGCGCGGTGGCTCGCGCCTGTAATCCCAGCACTTTGGGAGGCCGAGACGGGCGGATCACGAGGTCAGGAGATCGAGACCATCCTGGCTAACACGGTGAAACCCCGTCTCTACTAAAAAATACAAAAAACTAGCTGGGCGAGGTGGCGGGCACCTGTAGTCCCAGCTACTCGGGAGGCTGAGGCAGGAGAATGGCATAAACCTGGGAGGCAGAGCTTGCAGTGAGCTGAGATCCGGCCACTGCACTCCAGCCTGGGCAACAGAGCGAGACTCTTGTCTCAAAAAAAAAAAAAAAAAAAAGATCATGTAGTGTTCTCTCATGTGGTTGTGCCATAATTCATTCTTTATAAGCATCCTTGAATCATTGCAAATTTATGCAAATACTTCTGTGGGATAAATTCAGAGGTGGATTGTTGAACCCAAGGGTATGAACATTTTGCATTTTATACAGGTGTGCTGTCTTTACCCCTGCTAACAGCGTTTGAGAGTACTCGCTTCGTGGTACCGAGGGATGGGCAGATTTTTATAATGCAAGATCAACATAAAAACCAAGCAACCTAAAACCAGAAATTAAGAACCCCATGAGACCGGTGCCCTGACTCACACCTGTAATCCCCACACTTCGTGAGGCCAGGCAGTTGCTTGAGCTCAGGAGTTTGAAACCAGCCTGGGCAACTTGGCAAAACCCTGTCTCTACCAAAAATAGAAAAAGAAAAGATTAACTGAGTGTGGTAGCACACACTTGTGGTCCCAGCTACTGGGGAGGCTGAGAGGTGGAGGTTGCAGTGAGCCGGGATCATGCCATTGCACTCCAGCCTGGGTGACAGAGTGATACCCTGTAACCCACCCTAAAAAAACCTTGATACCCATACAGTGCCTCTCTCATATGGGAGTTATTAAGAGCATTCTTTAGGTAGATCTTAGTGTATTGACTTAAAACGATGTCTCAGGATGCATGGGGAAAAGCAGTAGGTTTGGTGTGGCTCAATTTCTACATTAGAGACGAACGTAAATATATTTTTAACTGGAGCTCTATGTGTAACAGCGGCTCTTTCAGGAGCAGAGGCTGCTCACTGACTCAGCAATTATTTCAGTGCCCACTCTGCACCCAAAACTATCCCAGGCCCTGGGGATATAATATAAAAGATTTCTGCTCTTATGAAGTTTGTAGTCTAGTTTGGGAGAGATGGACCCCAAAAATGTGTTTAAGATAATTTCAGAGATGGGTGTCTATTACGAAGCAGGTAACATAGGGTAATATGACTAAAAATGACTTTAGATGAGGTGGCCACATTTTTATTGTATATATTGCTGGAGGTGATTATGTTATGGGATCCTTTCCCCTTCTACATTTTGGGTGTGTTTGAACTTTCCATGAGTGTGAATTTCTTTTGTAACCAGAATAAAACATTATAAATAATAAAACCGGTTGTAAAGCTTTGAAATGAAACCCTTGACCGCTAGCTGGCATCCTGCAGGTCTTGACTCCTGTTTTTTTGTTTGTTTGTTTGCTTGTTTTGTTTTGTTTTTTTTGAGACGAGTCTCGCTCTGTCACCCAGGCTGGAATGCAGTGGTGTGATCATAACTCGTGGCAGCCTTGACCTCTTGGGCTTAAGCGATCTTCCTGTCTTAGCCTCCTGAGTAGTTGGGACTGCAGGTGTGCACCACCATGCCCAGCTATTTAAAAAAAAATTTTTTTTTGTAGAGACATGGTTTCCCTGTGTTGCCCAGGCTGGTCTTGAACTCTTGGCCTCAAGCAGTCTTCCTGCTTTGGCCTCCCAAAGTGTTAGGATTATAGGCGTGAACCACCACATCTGGCCTGGGTCTTGACTCTTAAGCACCTTAGATCCCCTGAGCAGGCATTTCCATCACCAAGTTCAACCTGGCTTATCATGGCAGGGAGGTACCTCTGGGCCAACTTGAGATAAGCAGAACAAGATGTGGTTGGGGGCATCATGGGAAAAGGAAGCCACCGCCATTTCCAGAAACTCTTTAGGCTTGGTTCGCATCTTGAACTGCAGAGCAAGCTTGGGGGCCTGTGTAGAAGGGGGCCAGGGGTTGAAAAGCTGGAGGAAGGAGTGGGTCTGAGGATGGGAGCTTCCTTTTTTTTTTTTGAGATGGAGTTTCGCTGTGTCCCCCGGGCTGGAGTGCAATGGCGTGATCTCGGCTCACTGCAACCTCTGCCTCCCGGGTTCAAATGATTCTTTTGCCTTAGCCTCCCGAGTAGCTGGGATTACAGGTGCCCACCACCACGCTGGGCTATTTTTTTTTTTTTTTTTTTTTTTGTATTTTTAGTAGAGATGGGGTTTTGCCATGTTGGCCAGGCTTGTCTCGGACTCCTGACCTCAGGTGATCTGCCTGCCTCTGCCTCCCAAAGTGCTGAGATTATAGGTGTGAGCCACTGCGCCTGGCCTGAGGGTGGGAGCTTCTGACAAACAGCATCCCATGATGGGTGTGTGTGCGTAGAAGTGGGAAGAACTGGGGAGGCCGATTTGAGGGAAGTGAATCTGACCTGTTTCATGCCGCCTGTCTGCCTGGTATGGCCTTATCTTGCCCTAGCGTCCGCTAAATGCTTGTCTCCTCTCTGCTCCACCACAGATGCCGTGCGCGAAATTCGGAAGTATGATGATGTGACCGAAAAGGTGAACCTCCAGAACAATCCTGGGGCCATGGAACACTTCCACATGAAGCTTTTCCGTGCCCAGAGGAATCTCTACATTGCTGGCTTTTCCTTGCTGCTGTCCTTGTGAGTGGGGTTTGAGGGGGCAGGTGCTGTGAAAGGAGCCATGGGCTAGCCAGGGACACGGAGCTCAGTGGGCTCAGTCTCCCCCTGTGACTTTGATTCCTCCTCAGCCTGTGGCCTGGACCCCAAAGCCCTGTCTGTGTTAGGGAAACCACATAGTTTTCTCCTGACCTCCAGAGGCTGCGTGGAGGATAGGAGAAGGCTGCTCGAAATATCAGAAGACCCTCACACACCACATACTCTGAGGCAAACAGATTACTGTCTCACACTGTTTGCATGGAGAGTGAGGTGTAACGGGTAAGGCCTTGCCCTCCTCTGGGAGAGGACCTTCAGAGTCCAACTCACAAGGGAGCAATTGAATGGGGGGCTCTTTGTGTTTGGGGTGCTGACCTAGGGACAGCAGGTAGAAGTGACATGAAGAGGCTAGGCCTCTCCTCTCCTCACCTCACCTCAGGGCCTTCCCCACATGAAACTCATGAGGGCATGTTACGTTCCATGGCAGCCAGAGTATTTCTGGCGATGTTTTTGGTAAAACTAAGTGCCTTGATCAGGGCCAAGGGTAACTAGTTGGGCAAAACTAGACAACTACGAAGTGCCTATTTGAGCCTGGGGCCCTGTTTGCTGCCTCCTGCTTCACGCAGCCGTTCTGATCAGCAGGGCCTGGCTGTGAGGTAGATGGGAGCTCAGACCAAGGGTGTATGAAGGCATTGGAAAGGTGCTTGCTTTGAGGGTGGAGCTCTCATGACTTAATCACTTCTCAAAAGGCCCCACCTCTTAATGCTGCCGCAGTGGGGATTAAATTCCAACACATGAAGTTTGAAGGGCACTCAGACAATAGCACCAAGTGATTCTCAGGCTCACGGACAGTTATTCCCCACTTGGTTTTGTGCTGCGAGACTCAAGAATTTCCATGCCTAAGAGATTCTTGCTCTCTAGTCACCTGGTGTGTCGTGCTTTACCAGTCACTAGACTTGTCTTAAAGTCTGTCGTTTAGATGATTTTGTATTCTCTGCGACCAAGTTGGGAAGAGGGGTGGAGGTAGAAAACGCAAACACATTTTTTCAAGATGATGGGTTTGATCACAGATTTGATCAACAAGCTTGTTATCTTCAAACTTAGGAAAGTCAGGAAATGAGAAGGCTGGGAGGAATGAGACACATACCCTAGATTTTTCAGGAAGTTCCAAACAAATATTATCTTGTGGTCTGAGGCTGAAAGGGAAGCAGCTCTGGAAGACTGAGTCTCAAAACCAGAATTCTGAGTATGATAGCAAAATGAGGAAAAAAGACCATAGTGAGGAGGGAAAGAGAGGAAACTAGGCCATCTACCAGAAAAGCATCTAGAGCTTTAAGAATAGTATGGGGGAGGGGGTGGGCTGGGCACGGTAATTTACGCCTGTAATCCCAGCACTTTGGGAGGCTGAGGCAGGCAGATCACCTGAGGCCAGGAGTTTGAGACCAGCCTGGCCAACATGGTGACACTCTGTCTCTACTAAAAATACAAAAAAAAAAAAAAAA